GTGTGGCCAACATCTGGCCCAGGGTGTGGCCAACGTGTGGTCCAGGGTGTGGCCAACGTGTGGTCCAGGGTGTGGCCAACGTGTGGTCCAGGGTGTGGCCAACGTGTGGTCCAGGGGTGTGGCCAACGTGTGGTCCAGGGGTGTGACCAACGTGTGGTCCGGGGTGTGGCCAACGTGTGGTCCGGGGGTGTGGCCAACGTGTGGTCCGGGGGTGTGGCCAACGTGTGGTCCGGGGGTGTGGCCAACGTGTGGTCCGGGGGTGTGGCCAACGTGTGGTCCAGGGTGTGGCCAACGTGTGGTCCAGGGTGTGGCCAACGTGTGGTCCAGGGTGTGGCCAACGTGTGGTCCAGGGTGTGGCCAACGTGTGGTCCAGGGTGTGGCCAACATGTGGTCCAGGGTGTGGCCAACATGTGGCCCAGGGTGTGGCCAACATGTGGCCCAGGGTGTGGCCAACATGTGGCCCAGGGTGTGGCCAACATGTGGTCCAGGGTGTGGCCAACATGTGGTCCAGGGTGTGGCCAACATGTGGCCCAGGGTGTGGCCAACATGTGGCCCAGGGTGTGGCCAACATGTGGTCCAGGGTGTGGCCAACATGTGGTCCAGGGTGTGGCCAACATGTGGTCCAGGGTGTGGCCAACATGTGGTCCAGGGTGTGGCCAACATGTGGTCCAGGGTGTGGCCAACATGTGGTCCAGGGTGTGGCCAACATGTGGTCCAGGGTGTGGCCAACATGTGGTCCAGGGTGTGGCCAACATGTGGTCCAGGGTGTGGCCAACATGTGGTCCAGGGTGTGGCCAACATGTGGTCCAGGGTGTGGCCAACATGTGGTCCAGGGTGTGGCCAACATGTGGTCCAGGGTGTGGCCAACATGTGGTCCAGGGTGTGGCCAACATGTGGTCCAGGGTGTGGCCAACATGTGGTCCAGGGTGTGGCCAACATGTGGTCCAGGGTGTGGCCAACATGTGGTCCAGGGTGTGGCCAACATGTGGTCCAGGGTGTGGCCAACATGTGGTCCAGGGTGTGGCCAACATGTGGTCCAGGGTGTGGCCAACATGTGGTCCAGGGTGTGGCCAACATGTGGTCCAGGGTGTGGCCAACATGTGGTCCAGGGTGTGGCCAACATGTGGTCCAGGGTGTGGCCAACATGTGGTCCAGGGTGTGGCCAACATGTGGTCCAGGGTGTGGCCAACATGTGGTCCAGGGTGTGGCCAACATGTGGTCCAGGGTGTGGCCAACATGTGGTCCAGGGTGTGGCCAACATGTGGTCCAGGGTGTGGCCAACATGTGGTCCAGGGTGTGGCCAACATGTGGTCCAGGGTGTGGCCAACATGTGAAATGATGCGAGGATTATGTAATAAAGATATCCTTACTTGGTTCAGGGTGTAGCTCCACTACTTAACCGAAGTGTTACCATCTAAGATTATTAGGCCTTCTAAAGATAGATGTAAAACAAGGATACTCAGCTCTGTCCCTTGGTTGTAGAGGTGGCTGTGGCAAGGCACTGTAAGATAGAATAGTGTATCGTATGTGATGCGTGGCGCAAACCTCCAGGATCGAGTCCTGTCTCGTGTGTGTGTGGGTTTTACATTCTGCCACAATGACTGCCCGCCTCCCTCCCCGAGGCTCTGGTTCCAATATTATTTCTTGGTTCCTACTCTGTCTTATGGACTTAGGGAGGCACGCTTCAGTTTTATGGATAATTATATTGTATCCAGTCCTAGTGAATACGTTTTTATTAAGTTTAAACACCAGACTGTTGTTTTGAAGAATTCTTTAAATTCTTTATAATAAAACAAGTTTATAACAAACTTACCTTAGCTAAAGGTAAGTTTCTTGTTAGTTGGTGGTGTTATGTCTATGTTCACTACGAGGAAGGTAGGATAGTGGTCAGTTCTGTCAGTGATTATTCTAGATGCAAAGAGAGCTGTTATGTTGGTCCATAAGTGATCCAAGGTAGCACACGGGAGACATCTCCCGTCACGCAGGGTGCAGTCGCACCTCCACAGATCTCCAGTATCAGCTAATGATTCTGGTAATGGCTCAAAAGGGCCACCACTTACGGGCGATTCATGCCCGTGCCACCTTTTGGGTGGCTTAACCTTCATCAATAAATCATCCAAGGTAGCGGCGGATGTTTGAGTGATTTGGGTGGGCTTGGTGATTGTGCATACAGGAGTTCATGCTGTTTAGGAAACATGGCTATTGTGTTGACCCAGGTCAATATTGAAGTCACCTCCCAGAATGATGTGATTTTTGTCGAGATTGTTGTTTAAGATAAGATTCCTTAGGTCATCTGAGAATGCAGTTTGTTGGAATTGGTAAATCTATAGATAGCTCCAATAGTAAAGGAGGATTTAAGGGATTTAATCGAGAATTAAAGCAAAGAATTGAATTGAGCAAAGGTATATTGACAGTAGTGGTCTATCACTAATGACAGTAGTGCAGATGAAGGTATCTTGGTAATGTATAGCTGTGCCACCTTTTTTGTTAGGCCTACAGTTGTGAATGACTTTATAACCAGTTAAGTTGTAAAGTTGGGTATGGTCTTTACTTAGCCACGTATCATCAAGTTTAAACATTAGACTGCTGTTTTAAAGACTAGTTGTGGAGCTTAAATGTACGTGTTGTGATCACGTCACCGAATCTCCCATTTCTTTTAAATTTCTGTTAATGAGTAACTATAGAAAATTAACTATATTTATAATGCTTACTATGTTAACATGTTGTGAGTCGGATTTCCGACATGTGCGTGTGAGGGTGAGGAGGGTGTGTGGGTGTGGGTGGGTGTGTGGGTGAGGAGGGCGTGTGAGTGTGGGTGGGTGGGTGTAAGGGTGTGGGTGGGTGTGGGTGTAAGGGTGAGGAGGGTGTGTAGATGTGAGGGTGAGGAGGGCGTGTGAGTGTGGGTGGGTGGGTGTAAGGGTGTGGGTGGGTGTGGGTGTAAGGGTGAGGAGGGTGTGTAGATGTGAGGGTGAGGAGGGCGTGTGAGTGTGGGTGGGTGGGTGTAAGGGTGTGGGTGGGTGTGGGTGTAAGGGTGAGGAGGGTGTGTAGATGTGAGGGTGAGGAGGGCGTGTGAGTGTGGGTGGGTGGGTGTAAGGGTGTGGGTGTAAGGGTGAGGAGGGTGTGTGGGTGTGAGGGTGAGGAGGGCTTGTGAGTGTGGGTGGGTGTAAGGGTGTGGGTGGGTGGAGGGTGAGGGTGGGTGTGGGTGTGTGGGGTGGGTGTTACAAGCGTCCCATTAATCAGGTTCCTGTATTCTCTGATCATTCTCGCGTCCAGAGATCCATAACCCGCGCTGGAAATATAGTGACATGTTTAACGTTCCAGAAATCAAATGAAGACAAAAGCTTCCACTTACTATTAGGCTCAACTATAACTAAACCCACAACTTGGAGGCCCAATATTGACACTTTGTCCATCAAATGTGAGGGATAAGACTCCACTAGTGTGGAGTCTTAGACTCCACTGGACTCTTCCAGCGCTCCACTATCCTCTCGAGCAGGTACAGTCAGAGGTCCACCTGGCCTCTGGTTCTCTCTGCTGCCACTCTGCTGGCAGCTCATCAGCTCCCAGAACAGCAGACTAGAAGAAGGGAAGCATTATTAATGGCAGGTGTAAACTGTACTTAACTCGGAATCTGAATCATAGATGGCGCTGAGGTTCGTTACTGTGGGGGTGGAGACAGGGAGGAGGGGGGGAAGGGGACAGTGTGTGTGTGTGTGTGTGTGTGTTGCGGGGGGGGGGGAGACTCGGTATGTGTGTGGGGGGGATATAGGGAGGGGTGTGGGGGGGGATATAGGGAGGGGTGTGTGGGGGGGATATAGGGAGGGGTGTGTGGGGGGGATATAGGGAGGGGTGTGGGGGGGATATAGGAAGGGGTGTGGGGGGGATATAGGGAGGGGTGTGTGGGGGGGATATAGGGAGGGATGTGTGGGGGGGATATAGGGAGGGGTGTGGGGGGGATATAGGAAGGGGTGTGGGGGGGGATATAGGGAGGGGTGTGTGGGGGGATATAGGGAGGGGTGTGGGGGGGATATAGGGAGGGGTGTGTGGGGGGATATAGGGAGGGGTGTGTGGGGGGGGGAGGGACCTGGGAGGGTGCCTCATGTTTATTGTATTTAATATTGATTTCTGTTCCAGATTTCCTGCTGGAGATAAATAACATAATCATTTTAATTCCTATAGAAATATATGTTAAACAGACGGAGCCAAAAACGTGTGTCGTAATGGAGAGAAAAAATTATACATCCATATATCATTGTCATGAATAACTTTTGTTTTTCATGGAGTTATAATGTGTGTGTGGGAATGTTATAGGAACCTGGGGCTAGATTCACGAAGCAGTTACGCAAGCACTTACGAACCTGTACATCTTGTCTCAATCTTTGGCGGCTTTGTTTACAATTATTAAACGGTTAATGAGCTCCGAAGCACCAGGAGGCTGTTTATAACAATAACAACAGTTGATTGGGAAGTTTTCATGCTTGTAAACTGTTTAATAAATGTAACCAAAGCCGTCAAAGATTCAGGAAAGATGGACACGGCTTTGGTTACATTTATTAAACAGTTTACAAGCATGAAAACTTCCCAATCAACTGTTGTTATTGTTATAAACAGCCTCCTGGTGCTTCAGAGCTCATTAACTGTTTAATAATTGAAAACAAAGCCGCCAAAGATTGAGAAAAGATGTACAGGTTCGTAGTAGTAGCAGGATCCATCAGTCTCAGGAGACTATGGAGTTGCGCTCTTGTGTCGGCCTGGTCTGGAGTGGTCTCTCCACGGCGCAAAGCCAGGATAAGTTGATTCGAGGGTGAAGCTGTTACCCAGGCAGCGGGTCCCCCTCTCCACGGCGCTGAAAGTCTCCAATGGAAAGGCATACGTCAATACGATTGGTTCCAGCGCCGTCGCAGGAACTGTGAGTTCCGTAAGTGCTTGTTTAAGTGCTTTCGTGAATCTGGTCCCTGGTATGGGTAACGAGGCTCTCAACCAGTGTTTCTCCTCCACAGGTGGTACCGTAACGACCACCTCCTACCAAACGACACTACCAGCATCCTCACCTTATACAAGATATCCAGAAATCTTCACCAGAAGTCGATATCATGTGAGGTATGTGGTAGTGGTGGTGGCACGACCTGAGCAGGTATGTGGTCGTACACCTGAGCAGGTATGTTTTTTCTTTTTCTTTTTATTTTTAAAACAGAGCAAGTACAGCGTATAGTAACCATATAAACAGGAAAGCACAGAATAACAAATTGGGGATTGGCTGTTTGGCAGCCGTGCGGAGCGGTTCTGTTTACATTCGCTCCTCAGTCTTGCCTGGACGTTTGGCGTGCACACAGCTGGTGGCGTTTTTTGTGGCCTCTGGCCTGGCGGGCCGGCGGGATGGCGTTGCCCATGCCGCCTATAAAGCGTGTGGATACGGTTGAGCTGGCCTTCTCTGGTCAGGTGAACTACACATTGTTGGAGGTTGCTCTCCTGGATGTGCTGGGTCTCAACCCTGCAGATGTGTGTGGTGTGCAGCTGGCTGGGGAACATTGGGCCTTGGTTAAGCTGACTGACGCTGTGGTGTACCGGGATATGGTCGACAAGTATGATGGGCGTACTGTACCTTTGCCTGGCGCGGCGGGTACGGTTTCTGTAACGGACTTGTGTGTTCCAGTGACTTTTGTGGTGGTGCGGGGGCTGCCGTTTGAGTTCCCAGAGAGCCTGCTCCGCCGGTTCTTAGGAGGATATGGGAGTGTTCTCGCCTGTCGGGCGAATGTGCTGAAGTCTGGCCGTCTTCGTGGCGTCCTGATGGGTATCCGCACGGTTACCATGAAGCTGAGGAAGGCGATCCCGTCGTCGATGGTGCTGCTGGGGTTCAAGGTGCAGTGCTTTTATGCGGGACAGGAGCACACATGTTTTCGGTGCGGTATGGCTGGACACCAGGCTGCTGGTTGCCGTAATGGCACCGTCCTGTTGGTCAGTGTCTTCCGAGAAGAGGATTTTCCGCCTCTACATGGCCTTGTGGACTTGGAGGATGATCCTGCCGGGTTGAACCCTCCCCCTGCACCTACCGGTGATGATGGTGTTGTGGGTGCGGTGCGCCCCACTGGTGCTGACGTGTCGGGTCCGATGTCTGTGGACCCCCCTGGTGTGGGTGGTATAGTGCGGTGGTCACGCATGTGGAGGTGCATCCGCCTCCGGTTGCCATAGCCGTCGATGTTGACGCTTCGGTGGGGCGTGGCCCTGTTTTGTCGCCAGTGGAGGATGTCGCGCCAGATTCTGGTGCCCTTGGTGTGGAACCCTTGGAGGCAGATGAGTTCTTGGAAGGAGGTCGCCCCTCTCGTCGTCCTTCCACCACTGCTGTCCAGGGTCAACCTGGCTCTCAGACGAAGCGCCGGAAGACGAACAGGACTGGTCGCTCCGGGGACCGAGGGCCTTCGGTGCGGAGGTTAGAGCCTGATGCGAGTGTCGGTGATGATGAGGGTGTGGCGGTGTCTGTAGTAGACCCGTCGGTGCCGGGCGGTGGAGGGTGTGTTGTGGACCCTCCTGGTGATCTCGTATGTGGGTCCCCTGGGGTACGGAGCCCGGAGTGGGCGGTAGTGGATCCGGGGGACGGTGGCAGTGATGATCGCGGCCTTGTGATCAAGCTCCGGAAGGACTCTGGCCTTCCAACCCCCCCCCCCCCCCTGTGGGGAGTGCATCTCCGTCGCCTGGGAACCCGGTGGCGGCTGCTACTGCTTCCGTACACGGGGTGTCGGCCGGACCGGTATGACGGTTTTGTGGTTAGATAGGGTTTATCTCTTTTCCCGATGGATCCTAAATTAACATGTGCTTCGCTGAATGTGAATGGCTTGCGTTCTGTGGCTGTACAATTGGGCCTGGTGTCGATGCTGCGTGAGTGGAGGGTGGATGTGGCTTTTGTGCAGGAGCAAATTGTGCAGGAAGTGGGGTTGTTACATGTGTTGGCTGAGGGGTTTACCGTGGAGTTAAACCCTTCGCGTGGCTTGTGTGGAGGTACGTTGATCCTGCTTTCTAAGCGGACCCCGATTTCCGTGCTTCACACGGAGATGGACGAAGGTGGTCGGGTGCTGTTAGTTCGGGTCTCCTTTTTGGTGTCTGAGGTCTTTCTCTTGAATGTGTACGCACCATCTGGGGCGGCGCAAAGGCAGAACCGGGAGGTTTTCTTTTCCCGTGATGTGCTGCATTTTTTGCGGCACGATACGAGGGGGATGATTTTGGGGGGGGGGGATTTTAATTGTATTACATCGCCGCGGGATAGCAATAGTCTTCGTCCAGCGAATATCTCGCTGGCTTTGACTGCTACCTTGAAGAGTTACGGGTTTCGGGATGCGGCTGTGTTGCAAGGGGGTCCTTTGGAGTACACTTTTATCTCGTGTGGGGCTTGCTCTCGCCTTGATCGTTTTTACGTGCCTACTGGGGGTGGTTCGGTTTTTTCGTTGCAGACGGTTCCCGTGGGGTTCTCGGACCATTGCATGGTGGTGTTGCAGGTGGGGATTTGCAGCCAGGTGCGGGTTGGCCGTGGCTGGTGGAAACTGAATTGTGGGTTGCTGAAATGCCCTGTTGTGTGTGCCCAGTTCCGAGCCCGGTGGGCTGTTTTGGCCGCTCGGAAGGGGACTTTTCCCTCGGTCCTGGAGTGGTGGGAGTGGGCTAAGGTGGAATGTCGGTCGTTTTTTCGGGTGATGGCGAAGCGGGAGGCGTCGGGAAGGTTTGGTCTGTTGAGGGTCTTGCAGGCACGGTTATTTCGCCTGTATGGGTTGCTGAATCAGGGTTTAGATAGGTTTCGGGAGATCTCGGTGTGTAAGGATCTCATTTGTGGGCTGAGGGGGTACGTGTGCGGGCTGGGGTGGAGGAATGGTTGTGTGGTGAGAAGCTCTCGCAGTTTTTACTGCGGAAGGAACGGGTGGGGCGTGCCTCTGTTTTGTTGGCAGGTCTTCATCGGCCGGACGGTTCGGTTTTGTCGGACACGGGGGCAATTTTGCATTATGTGCGTGGTGAATTGGAGTCTTTGTATGGGGTGGTTGCGGGGGATGAGGGGTTGATGGAGTCCTTCCTCCAACACTGTGCACCGGGGTTGTCGGGTATGGATTGTGTGGGTCTTGTGCGGGAGATAAGCCCTTCGGAGCTTTGGGAGGTTGTGCGGTCCTTTCGTCGTGGTGAGGTTCCAGGGTCGGATGGGTTTCCAATGGAGTTCTATGTCGAGTTTTGGGATGTGCTTGGTGCCGATTTTTTGGAGGTGGTTCGGTTTTGTCTTCAGAGTTTGTCTCTGTCCGTTTCGCAAAATGATGGTCTTGTGCGGCTTCTTCCGAGGGGGACTTACGTTTTTTTTGCAAATTGGCGGCCTATTACGTTGCTAAATGTGGATTACAAGATTATTTCCAAGTTGTTGGCTGGACGTTTGCGCTCGGTTGTGGGGTCGGTGATCTCTTGGGGTCAGTTTTGTGGCGTTCCGGGTAGGTCGTTGGTGCAATGCAATTCCCTTTTTCGGGATTTGCTCCTCTATGTGGAGGAGTCTGGTGTTCCCGCGGCCATGATAAGCCTGGATTGGTCCAAGGCTTTTGATCGCGTGCCAATTGGGTTTGTTTTGCGGGTCCTGGAGAGGTTTGGTTTCCCGCCCCAGTTTGTGGGCTGGATACGGATGTTGTATGCTGGTTGTAGTAGTAGGGTGTGTGTCAATGGGTTCCTTAGTGCTCCCTTCGCTATTCGGCGTTCAGTTCGACAGGGGTGTCCTCTGTCGATGCTTCTATATATTCTGTTTCAGGAGCCCTTTGTTCGCGCAGTGCGTGCTTGTCGTTCTGTTGTCTCACCGTGTTTGCCGAATGGCTTGTCCCTCAAGATTTGTGGTTATGCGGACAACACGGTCTTGTTTGTTGCCTCTGAGGGTTCTGTGCCTGCTGTTCAGGATTTGGTGCTTCAATTTGAGTCGGCTACAGGGGCTTTGGTCAATCGTGGAAAGTCTTGTCTTCTGGGGTTGGGCCTCTCGTTTGGTGTGGTCTAGTTCGTGGTTTCCGGTGGTTCAGTCCATTCGGGTTCTGGGGATTACATGGTTCAGGTCGTATGTGCAGTCCTTGGAGTTTAATTGGGAGGCAGTTTTGCGGGGGGGGGGGGGCGTAGCTGTGGGGATGTTGTCGCAACGGGCCCTAACTATTTACCAGCGGGCGATTGTCGTGTCTTGTAAGGTTTTGTCGCGGGTCTGCTTTGTTGCGCAGTGTTTTCCGTTGGATCGGCGGAAGGCTCGCGCTCTGGAGGGTTTGGTGTATCGTTATGTGTGGTGTGGCCGGTATCGTCCAGTTCGTCGATCTACGTTATGTCTTAAGGTGTCAGAAGGTGGAATTGGTATTCCTGATGTCTATGTGAAGGCGTTGGCTTTGTTTTGGGGGTCGGTTCGGAGGAGTTTGGTGTTAGGGGGTGGGTTAAACTCCTTGGGGTTGTTTTACTGCTCTATGAGGTTTAGTTTTTTGCTTGATCTGGATCGTTGCCGGGAGGTGGCCATGTATACGCCTCCAGTGTATTCGTGGGCGGTTTTGATCCTTCGGCGCTTTGTCGATTTCCTGGGTTTGTCTCTTTTTGGTTGTCGGGAGGTGTATGGGGCGCTTGCCTCTCGGGTGCCTCCCAGGGTTGAGGGTTTGTACCCTTGTTTCGACTGGGGGAATGTGTGGGAGGCGTTGAGTGGGCCGTGTATTGCGCCACGGACGCGTGAGTTGGTTTTTCGATATTTGCATGAGTCTTTGGCTACGAATGCGAGGCTCTTTGTTGGGTTTGGTCGCCTCTGATAGTTGTGTTCATTGTGGGAGACGTGAGACTCAGTTGCACGTCTTTTATTTTTGTGCGCAGGTTCAGGGTTTGGTTGGGTGGTTGGGGATGTCATTGCAGCCTTTTGTGGTCCAGGGGTGCAGGTCGACCTATTGCGGTTTTTGTTTTTTTCGTTCCCTCGGGGCTCCAGGCGGGTGCGTAACACGCTCGGGGTGTTGTTAGCGGACTATATTTTTTGTTTATGGGTTGGTAGGGTGGAGGGGTCTGGGGTGGGGAGGATTTTGGGCTTTTTGAAAGGCCGTCTGTCTTATACTATGTGGTGGTTGCGTCGCTCCTTTCCTAGGGTTTTTGATGCTTGGTTCACGGTCGAGTATGTCCGGGGTGCTGCGTTGGTGTAGGTGGTGGGTTCCTGTGGGTGTGGTTGTGTGTGTCTGTGCGTGTTCCTTTGGTTCGGTTCCCTCTGGTGGGTGGAGGTTTGGGGGGTCTGTGTTTGTTTGTCTTTGTGTGTACTGGGGTTTGCTTGGTTACCTTGTGTGGCAGGGTTTTGTTTGTGTGTGGGTGGGTATGGGTGTGTTGTGGTGTTGCGTGGCATGTCTGTCTCTCTCCTGATGTGTCCGGTGCGTGGGTGTTTTTTCTGCTTGGTGGCTGGCCGTCCTCTGTCTGTGGGGGTCGGGTTTGTGTGCTGGGTGGCTGTTTGTTTCGTATGTGTTCTATTGTTGTGTGTTTTTTGTGTGCTTGTGTTCATTGTCGTATTGTCTTGCTGCCTTGTGTTATGTGCTTTTCATTATGGTTCCTGTTGGCACGCCCCGTATGGGTGGCATGTGTTGTTTGTTTGTGTGTTTATGCTTTTTTTTACACTTTGTTCTGTTATCTGTGTCATTTTCCTGTGTTATATGTTCCATTGTCGGTTTGTACTATACCGATTCCTTTATTTTTTGCTATGTTATTTTACTATGTAATGCTAATGTGTTCTGTTTCCTTTATTTTATGTACTGTGCTGTGTATTGCTTTGTTGTATTCCTTTGTTATTTTCCTGCATTTCCTTACTATGTTGTATTTACAGTGTTATATTAACAAGTTTGTTATTGTGTTCTCGTTTCTGTGGTGTGTTGTCTGCTGTTGTGTGGTGTGGCGCATGGTGCGTATGTTGTCTGCTGTTGTGTGGTGTGGCGCATGGTGCGTGTGTTGTCTGCAGTTGTGTGGCGCATGGTGCGTGTGTTGTCTGCTGTTGTGTGGTGTGGCGCATGGTGCGTGTTGTTACCTATCGTACGTTAAGGCTCGTGACTCTACAGCAGCCAAACTTTAATTACGTCTAGGGATACGACACAACTGCTGTTCTCAATAGCGAATCACCAGTATAACCCCTTGATAAGTAATGAGCACAAAATTAAATCTTCATTAGGACTGAAGAATAGATACACACTCTTATTCACATCTATATTAAATAAATCTCAATAGCAAACAGATGATTATATGGTCACAATATATCACATTAAAAATATCACTGTATCTTCCAGACATTAAATTACAATTATAATATATATGGCTATGACAGAACAACATATATAACTTAACTCCAAGATGTTATCTCTCTGGTTCCCGTTCAGCTACTGACTAAAATAACGCGGGAGTCAAAAAACATTGCCTTGCCCCGCGAACAATTTGCCAAAGTTACAATATTATTTATTTCAACAATGGAGCAATACATTGTGACAAGAGTAATCTTAAACTAACTTAATGAATAATTAATACATATTGATATACAAACATAAGGTAAGTGTTTCTTTACATAGTAATTAAAATATGCATACAGAAGGGAATAATGGCATGCACACCCAGCAACGGACGATCCCACGACAATTTGCCAGATACAGTTCACTCAATTATTATTCACCTCTGTTACCCACTTATGATCACATATAAATCATTAGTTCCCGTGGGAAAACTGAGCACACAAAGAAATAAAACAATCATTCCCACGATACGTTGGGCCTAACGCCAACACTGTAACATGAATGTGCATTTGCATAGAACATATAAGTATCTCAATATACATGCTTGTAATTTACATACAATTATAAATGTACATATTAATATATTTACTTACGTATCTATTAGGAGTACGTAACACGTGTGTTGTCTGCTGTTGTGTGGCGCATGGTGCGTGTGTTGTCTGCTGTTGTGTGGCGCATGGTGCGTGTGTTGTCTGCTGTTGTGTGGCGCATGGTGCGTGTGTTGTCTGCTGTTGTGTGGCGCATGGTGCGTGTGTTGTCTGCTGTTGTGTGGCGCATGGTGCGTGTGTTGTCTGCTGTTGTGTGGTGTGGCGCATGGTGCGTGTGTTGTCTGCTGTTGTGTGGCGCATGGTGCGTGTGTTGTCTGCTGTTGTGTGGCGCATGGTGCGTGTGTTGTCTGCTGTTGTGTGGTGTGGCGCATGGTGCGTGTGTTTTGCGTTTGTGTTATTTTTGTATGTCTTTCTTTGTATGTGTATTCGTGTTTATAATTTACCCTTGGTTTATAGTGCTCCTTGTGCGCTTTTGTCATTACTGACGCTTTTGGCGCGCCCCGTCTGGGTGGTGCTGCTTTTGTGTGTGTGTTCTTATGTGTTTTATGTTATTCTTTGTTTTCACTTTTGTGTTGATCAGTGTTACTTGTTATCTGTGTTGTTGTTATTCTGTGCTCTTTGATATTCTGTGCTTTCCTGAGCAGGTATGTGGTCGTACACACCTGACCAGGCATGTGGTCGTACACACCTGACCAGGCATGTGGTCGTACACACCTGACCAGGCATGTGGTAGTTCTGTAGTCTCAAGACTTGATTAAGACATTTATAATTGTTCGGGTACGCTAGTTAGAGGACCTGGCCGGGTCTATCACGCCTTGTTAGGTTTAAGAGTTACTCTGCGTGATCAGGTATACCATTATAGGTCCTAGATCAGTGGGGGGGGGGGTGTTATATACTACCTTTTCTGACATTTCGGACAAGAGGTGGTATAATTATATTAACTAGGCAGGGTTATATCAATATTGTCCTGGTGTAATGGGTATGCTCCCTGGCCTGTTATACTCGGTAGACTCCTCCTCATCCCTCCTCTTCACATTAATGAGACACAGTAATACCCGTTTCCCATCACACAGGTACAAAATACACACTACCAATAATATCCCTGTGGCCATGTGTGCACATGTCATTTACACGTTGGTGAGAGCAGGAGACACATGTACAACGTGTGGGGTTGGACTACACATGTCTCCTCTAATCCCTACACGTGTCTCAACATGTTTCCAGTGCTCACTTAACTGTGGCCCCTCCCCCACACACACCTGCCCTTAGGATGACCAAACCACACACACACACACACACACACCAGGAGATGAAGAAACACGACCCTTTCTTCATGTGTCGTATCTTCGTCTTCTGGTGTGTGTGTGTGTGTGTGAGACAGCCTCCACCCTCACCATCTTAACCCCCGTCCTCTCCTACGAAGCAGGTGTCTGAGTGAACTACAATACTCCGCTATAAAGCTGCACCAATCAGTTCCTGATGTACAGCTCTGAGTGGCATCATGTTTTGTCAACAATTTACAACTGGTTCTTCCCCCTCCCCTCCTCCCCCCCCCCAGGTTTCCAACCAGGTGGGGTCGTCGAAGAAGACGCAGGTGTTACAGGTGCTGTACGGGCCCTTGTTCCGCTCCCTGCCTCACGACGTCATGGCTGAGGCCGGCACCGACGTCACGCTCAGATGTGACGTAGACTCCAATCCGCCCTCAAGCATCACCTGGCACCGTCACGGCTCTGATAAGGTCGGTACCTCATGCTCTCACTCGGGGTGATGATAGTCTGTGGCTGCAGGATTGGGGGACCTGGGGGGACGTGCTGTAGGGGAGGGGAGGGCTGGGGGGTTACAGTGTCCTCGGGTACCGGGGCTGTTGCCAATAGATACCCGGTTGTATTATCTCCGGATACAGGGCTTTGTTCAGTACAAACTCGAGTCCCGTTACAATTAGTATCAGAAATTGTTTGATAAGGTTGCCAACAGCCGGGTGGGTCGGCCCACCACTAACAGCCGGGTGGGTCGGCCCACCACTAACAGCCGGGTGGGTCGGCCCACCACTAACAGCCGGGTGGGTCGGCCCACCACTAACAGCCGGGTGGGTCGGCCCACCACTAACAGCCGGGTGGGTCGGCCCACCACTAACAGCCGGGTGGGTCGGCCCACCACTAACAGCCGGGTGGGTCGGCCCACCACTAACAGCCGGGTGGGTCGGCCCACCACCAGCACCAGCCGGGTGGTTCGGGCCACCACCACCACCAGCAGCCGGGTGGTTCGGGCCACCACCACCAGCAGCCGGGTGGGTCGGCCCACCACTAACAGCCGGGTGGGTCGGCCCACCACTAACAGCCGGGTGGGTCGGCCCACCACTAACAGCCGGGTGGGTCGGCCCACCACTAACAGCCGGGTGGGTCGGCCCACCACCAGCACCAGCCGGGTGGTTCGGGCCACCACCACCACCACCAGCTGGGTGGGTCGGCCCACCACTAACAGCCGGGTGGGTCGGCCCACCACTAACAGCCGGGTGGGTCGGCCCACCACTAACAGCCGGGTGGGTCGGCCCACCACTAACAGCCGGGTGGGTCGGCCCACCACCAGCACCAGCCGGGTGGTTCGGGCCACCACCACCAGCAGCCGGGTGGTTCGGGCCACCACCACCAGCAGCCGGGTGGGTCGGCCCACCACTAACAGCCGGGTGGGTCGGCCCACCACTAACAGCCGGGTGGGTCGGCCCACCACTAACAGCCGGGTGGGTCGGCCCACCACTAACAGCCGGGTGGGTCGGCCCACCACCAGCACCAGCCGGGTGGTTCGGGCCACCACCACCACCACCAGCTGGGTGGGTCGGCCCACCACCAGCAGCAGCCGGGTGGGTCGGCCCACCACCAGCAGCCGGGTGGGTCGGCCCACCACCAGCAGCCGGGTGGGTCGGCCCACCACCACCAGCAGCCGGGTGGGTCGGCCCACCACCACCAGCAGCCGGGGGGGTCGGCCCACCACCAGCACCAGCCGGGTGGTTCGGGCCACCACCACCACCAGCAGCCGGGTGGGTCGGCCCACCACCAGCAGCCGGGTGGGTCGGCCCACCACCACCAGCCGGGTGGGTCGGCCCACCACCAGCAGCCGGGTGGGTCGGCCCACCACCACCAGCAGCCGGGTGGGTCGGCCCACCACCACCAGCAGCCGGGTGGGTCGGCCCACCACCAGCAGCCGGGTGGGTCGGCCCACCCGCTAGCCTGCGTTAAGTGTTTGTCTCTTAATTATTAATTTATTGGCTATTATTCGTTTAAATACGAAGGCAGCCCTTCTTCAAGTGATGCTCGTCCAGAACACACCTGTAACATATAATTCCACATTAACTAATCCAAAACTATATTTTTTCAAATAGAAATTAATATTATCATACATTGATAGTGTGTTTTTCACCAGGCCTAGGATAGTTAGGCTAGTTGTTTTGGTTTTGGCTTGACTAGGTGCTCTTGCAATACTCAGCGATCTCCACCTGTCCCCACTATTCTCACTAACTTTGTGCCGTCAACGAATATTGACATGTTCGACTCGACCACCCTGGCTAGATCATTGACGAGAAGGAAGAATTAAAGTGTGGTTCTAGGACTGATCCTGGGCTGTGTGTGCTAGGACTGATCCTGGGCTGTGTGTGCTAGGACTGATCCTGGGCTGTGTGTGCTAGGACTGATCCTGGGCTGTGTGTGCTAGGACTGATCCTGGGCTGTGTGTGCTAGGACTGATCCTGGGCTGTGTGTGCTAGGACTGATCCTGGGCTGTGTGTGCTAGGACTGATCCTGGGCTGTGTGTGCTAGGACTGATCCTGGGCTGTGTGCTAGGACTGATCCTGGGCTGTGTGTGCTAGGACTGATCCTGGGCTGTGTGTGCTAGGACTGATCCTGGGCTGTGTTCTAGGACTGATCCTGGGCTGTGTGTTCTAGGACTGATCCTGGGCTGTGTGTGCTAGGACTGATCCTGGGCTGTGTGCTAGGACTGATCCTGGGCTGTGTGTTCTAGGACTGATCCTGGGCTGTGGGTTCTAGGACTGATCCTGGGCTGTGGGGTCTAGGACTGATCCTGGGCTGTGGGGTTTCCAATGTTCGTGAGGTTCAATTTATTTATATAATGCACTCTCTAATGCACTACATTTCACTCCTTATATTTGATAATTGTCACAAAATGTAGTTTAGAATGTTTATCTTATATACTGGGACAACATTCTTCAAATATTTTAGAGAACGTCTCACAAGAAGACTATACTTGTTTATATTATACTATACTATACGCGTTTCTGCCCGAAACGCTGCGCGTACTAGTGGCTTTACAAGATTGTAAATACTGTACTATTCAATGTATTCTCACAAACCCAATGTACCTTCTTGTATATAAAAAATAAATACTACCGCGCATGCGCAAGCTAGCAACTGCTTTGGCGCCACTTTCAAATGTACCCAGCACTGTCTATATGCACTGTACACCAAAAGACATTTATATAGGCTCTTACAATAGGAGAGAAGCTGTAGGAGAGATAACTTAAAGATGTTAATATTCAGCAAGACCCGTTAACTTCCTCGCCATCTTATCTTAACTATAACAGATCCTCGGGACAGGACGAGAGCTGAGGCTGAGAGTGAAGCCGTCCACAGCGGGGGTGTACAGGTGCGTGGCCTCCGTCAGGGGGTTCCCGGAGGTGGAGGGCGGCCTGCGGGTGCTGGTGAAGGGCCCGCCCACCATCGTCAGTGCCGGAGAGCAGCGGGGGAGGATGGGCGGCACGGTGAGCCTGGAGTGTAGCACAGTCTCCATCCCTAGCCCCATCCGCGTCACCTGGGCCTACAACGGCAGGGACATTGACCTCAGTGAGTCGGACGTTCTCACCACCATCATTCTCTCAGTGCGTGTGTGTCTACATGTCTGTCTCACTCCTCTCTCTCACTGTTACGCCAGAAAGCTAGGCTAGTCGCCATGAAGGTTTCTGACACTAACCTCACCTCCTTCACATTTACCTAAAACAGACTGATCCATATTTTAGTGAGAACATTTCGCAGGACATTACTCCATTTCACAGCAACTTTACTTACGTGATAAGAGATGTAGAGGTTTCTAGCGATAACGGTGTGGGGAATTCTGGCTCCAGTATAATACTAATAAAATGTATAATTTTAAGAATGCAAAATAATGATTAATTCTAAGATAGCTCGAAGGATCAGAATGAGTAATGAAGTGAGAAAATCAGTGGCTTATAGATCTATGATTATATATGAATTAATTCCTTTAAGCAATGACTGTAAATTATATAATTCTAGAGCCAGCCTCCCATGACACATTTTGGGGGGGTATTCTATAAGATTAATCTATGTGTAACATTTATTATGCAATAATAATAGTAAGTATAATATGCACACACATGGATAATGAGTAAAATATGTAATGCAAGAAATACTACTGCAATGTAAAGATTAATATGCATAAATGGCAGTATCAGATATATAGATATATGTATATGGACTCTGAATAATAAGGTACTATCTACAATGAAGACTGATTATATCTCAGCTGTGACAGGGGGACGTAGATGCAGTCCACTGTACGCCAGTCTGGGAACAGTTTGAGATAGTGATACTTGGCACAGGTGAGGGTATGGCGGTCACACACTTCCTCAGGGGTGTTGCACCATGCTGCAATAATGATAATTCCGTAATTTCCACCCCAAACTGGTATTCACACACATATAAGGTAATATCTAAATATTTGGAGGGGAAGAAGTTGCACTTACATGGAATTTTTGGTACGCCCGCAGCGTGACGACATTGCTACCTATATTAGTCATATTTAAGAGCTCTATAAATATTAATAAAAGGTAAAATGCCTGCCGAACTGGTGTCCGTGATTCTGGTAAGCTGCGTCCTCAATCTGTCATCTAAGGATGTTCGGATGTTGATTGGATGATAAGATTTGTTGGACCGCTTCGGACCAATTTGTTGGACCTTCACGCTTCTTGTTGGTAATGGCGAGAGTCCTCTCTCCTCCCTCCCCAAAGTCGCGCATGCGCAATAGCTCACCGTGAGGATTCGAGCATAAATTATATTTATTTATTAAAGCTAAATAGGGAAGGGGGCGTGTATGAACACTCTTGATGGTTTAGATAAATTCTTTGTGGTGATGTTTAATTCTCACAGTGCACGTCAGTTAATGTAGACGGCACAAATTAAACAATACTTGCTTGGTGGTGGAAATGATGTTAGATTATGATATTATTTACTGGAACAGCGATTAAGCTGGATAAGGAAATTACAGTAAACTATTGTATACTAAAAGTAAACCTATTACTAAATTATTATTCCTAATAAAGGAAAGTAAATGGTTGCATTTGTATAAGATCTACAGGTATGTGGAAATTTTATCCCCCGTGCGTGGCTGACGCAACACTACACAGTTCTAGGAGAAATTACAGGATGTTCCACAACCTAATACAGTAAATTCTACGATACTAAACTACATATTAGTAGTGTTAGTTACTTATTACGCTTAATACAGGAAATACATCCTGTTGTATTAAGGATTAGTAAATGAATATTAGATGTGTTTGAAGCCTAATACAGGAAATACATCCAGTTGTATTAGGGATAAGAATAACTGTTGGAAATTTCCAACAAACAGGGCATACTTTTACATTTCGGAATTCATGACAAAGTTTGATGTGTTGAACTTGGTCATAAGCTTAGGAAGCCTCAGGGAACGAAAGAGAGACGAGAGGTTCCTTGTTAGTCATCTTAGCTTAACACTTGCCCTAACAAAACTACATATGCCTCGCTAAGTAAAGAGTTTTGTGTGTAAATTGAAAGTCAGAGCTGTCTAGTTTATAAGTTAGAAAGGTTCATAAGTACATACCTAGATACTTTAGCAGCGTTTTTGGAACAATGGTGCCATACTTATCAGGGGGGGACGATAATGGGGCCCCCCCTCTCTCTCTCCAGCTCATCCATAGATTGTACGGCAGTTCTTAAGAATGGGAACAAGTACAGAGTCGTGTACTACAGCAGGCGGCGCTGTACCGAGGGGGAGAGAGACAGTACGACACAGAGAGGCATATATACAGTTTTGGCGTTCTATGTTTGAGGTTGTCAGAGTAGATCTTAAAGATGCCATCATACCTCCATTTTTGTTTTTTGTTTTTACAGCTTTGCCAACCATTCTAGGAGGTTAGTTTAACATTAGGGGAACAGTGTATGCCATATCACTCTCACCTGCCCCTGTATACACAACACAGTTGTATAGTACTCAGTATTTCGCTTAGAAAACATTTTCATAAATTTCGGGGCCAAGAGGATTCAATCCCGACATTCGTAATCCTTTTACATGAATTTTATATTTGTCTAATTTTACCCCAAAATTAAAAGAAAAATAATAAAAACTTCTTTCTTGAAAGGTTACCAGCAACCTTTGATCTCAATATTATCGTGCTTTTTTTAATCCTGTTAATGACTTGATTGAGCCCCAATGTTTCCTCTGATCAAGAGTAGCCAGCCATCTCCCGCCTGGCTATTTTATAGGTAAAACTTTTCTTAGTCGAGTTCATTTATTATGCACCCCATACCCATCCCGTGGGCAGTAGTGGATAGGGTTACAGGGGCACATAATGATGGGCTCAGGGACTGAACCCCAACGTGGATTTAACTAAGCAAGTTACAGTCTGGATAAGCTAGTTACACAATTTGAGGTATATAATAATATCAACAATGGGTTCGAGACCGACCACAGGTACAGTCTCTGAGTTAAGCAACTTACAAGTGTGATGAGCTAGTTGTATAATTTGCTTTGCTTATCATGCACAGCCCCCTCCCCCCCTCCTCCCCCCCCCCAATTACACAACAAAGCCACTACAATCACCCACATTTACGACGTACAATTAGCAAACTGGGAATGTTTGGCTAAAGTTTGTGGTGGTAAATAAAATTTTGAATTATATATTTGCACATGGCTTTATCTTTCTCTTCCTATCTCCTCATCTCTTCTTCTTCTCCTCCGTGTAAGCACCTTGAACTAATCTACAAACCCGACGTTGTAATTACAAGTTTGCCCCCTTTACTTGACCCAAAGTTGGCGGAGTCTCTTGCTCTCTCGACCCACACAGGCTCGCTCGCACGCACGCACTAACTCGCTGACTCACTGATTCACTCACTGACTCTCTCTCTCTCGCTCTCGCTCTCGCTCTCTCTCGCTCTCGCTCTCTCTCGCTCTCTCTCTCTCGCTCGCTCTCCCTCGCTCTCTCTCTCTCGCTCTCCCTCGCGCTCTCTCTCTCGCTCCCTCGCTCTCCTCTCTCTCCCTCTCTCGCCTCTCTCTCTCCCTCTCTCGCTCCCTCGCTCTCTCCCTCTCTCGCTCTCGCTCTCTCCCTCTCTCGCTCTCGCTCTCTCCCTCTCTCGCTCTCGCTCTCTCTCGCTCTCGCTCTCGCTCTCTCTCTCTCTCGCTCTCGCTCCCCTCGCTCTCTCTCGCTCTCCCTCGCTCCCTCCCTCGCTCTCCTCCCTCCTCTCTCTCTCCCTCTCTCTCCCTCTCTCCTCCCTCTCCCTCTCTCGCCTCCCCTCTCCTCTCTCCTCTCTCTCTCTCTCTCCTCTCTCTCTCTCTCTCTCTCTCCCTCTCTCTCTCTCTCTCTCTCTCTCTCTCTCTCCCACCCTGGCCTGACACATAGCTCCCCTCCCCTTCCTTCTCACGACTATGGTCATCTTACGCCTGCTGTGCCCCTGCTGTGCCCCTGCTGTACACACAGGAGCAGCAGCAGGAGCAGCACTAACGCTGGTGTCCTCCCCCGGGGTGCAGGTGACCCGAGGTACGAGCTGGTGCAGGACCGGCAGGGCGAGGGGCTCAGGAACCTGCTGGTGATCCACGACGCCGCCAGCCACGACT